GCATGTCGTCCCCCATGGATCGATGGCGAGACAAAACGCAAGTTCAAGGCCAAAAAACGTGCCTACAAAGCCCTCATGATCCTGAAAACTACCGAAGCAACAGCGACATACAAAGCACTCAGAAATGAATGCAAGCGTATGATGAGGGCAAAGAAAGTAGCATACGAAGATGATCTAGTGAAAAACGTTGACACCCAGCCAAATTGATTCTATTCATTTCTGAAAAGAAAGCGTCATGAAAGCCCGGGCATCCAAGGTCTCCACAATGCAGATGGTGTGCACGAAACAGATGAGTTATGTATGGCTGAACTTCTAGCTCAACAATACTCCACTGTCTTCTTGTCACCAGCGCACGACAGTGAGGATTTCGAGATCCCTGACCAAACTGAAAATGGCATAATAATTGGCTACTGAAGAAATAGATAATACTATAAGTAGATTCATACCTACTAAGGCCGCTGGACCTGATAATCTAACTCCGAGGGTTATTAGCGAGCTTGCTTCTTTAATCGCATCGAGCATCAGAGAACTGTTTCTCTGTACGCTTGACACTGCAACGGAACCAGATGACTGAAAACAGAGTGTAATAACTCCGAGGCACAAGGGTGGCGACCACTTTCTTCCCCATAATTATCGACCAGTCAGCCTGACCTCGGTGTTTGTGGAAGTATTTGAAAACTTCATCTGTCGCGAAATTGATGCCACATTGGGCCAGCCACAATCCTACCGACGGAACAACACGGCTTTGTTAAGGGCAAATCGTGTACCAAAAACCTCATGGTGGCACGTGAAGCTTGGTGCGAAGCCATAGAAAGACGACTGCCGGTTCATGTAGCCTAAATCGATCTTAGGAAGGCGTTTGATAAAGTTGATAATGTGCTCCTCCTGACCAAACTCAGTAATATGCCGGTACCTAGAACTTTAATAAAATGAATCAAGGGATATGTTTACGGTAAACAATGCCGGCTCAGAGTTGGCGAAGGGTGTTCCTCTGTGTATTAGGCTCGTAGTGGCGTACCACAAGGGTCGGTGCTGGGCCCCAGACTGTTTTAAATATACGTTGCGGATATCCCATGAAGACTTGTATCCCCATGCCCTCTGTTCGCGGACGATCTCAAGGTATGGCGCGCCATACGCAACTCCGAAGACACAATGACGTTCCAAAATGATCTCAATGTGAGCCACGAGTGGTCATTAGAGATCAAGATACCAGTAACCGTGACCAAAATCGAATTTGTTAATAATTGGGAGAGACCGGGACCACCCGCCCTATACAATA